GCCGGGTTCGTAGGTTTATTAACTTGCATATTTCACATAGATTATACTGTTGCACATGTAAGTTATGGACTCGTGCTAGCGTGTTTTATTGAGGCCTCGTGTTGAAATGAGTCGAAATCCTTCTTAACGTTTTTTTGCTCTTTTGGTGTTAGTGTTAACGCTACGGTTTATGACTCCTTACTATTTATGCTTTCTGGTATTTTGCGCAAGACCACTTACATTATCGGCCATATATCCTATTCTTACGTCTTACTATGCAGTCAACGATAATCTTATGTATCGTGGTTATCACTCGGCGTTCTTTTTGAATACGTTCAGTAAACTAATCAGTCGCTAGATGTCGCTGCAGTCTCCATGCCGTGGAGGGGACTTCGAAGAGACCTACCAACCAGATAGGCTGCCGTGCTGCCTTGAGTCTATATCCTGTCGTAACTTAGAGTTGTCGCACAGTCAGTTATTGTAGAATTCAAAAACCTATTGACAGTTTTACCATAGTAGCTGTACTTCAAGAAGAGCCATTGCGACAAACTCTCGGTTGAAATATCCTTCTCTTTTTGGCTTCACAGTATGTAATATGTTTGTCCTTTTGTCTGTCTTCCTAGTTATACATACTTAAGGGTATGTGTCTTTAGTAAGCATATAGTCTTTAAAATAAACATTTACGAAGTACCCTCTACATATGAAAGGGGCAGTAGTTAACCAATTTTCGACATGTGTAAAAATTGTGTCCCGATAATTTTAGCTATTTAAACTGTAGAAGGCATAAATGTAATTTTAGAGTACCAAATAACTAAGAAACAACATTAAAGAATTGCCACGACTACTGCTTTTGATTTGAAAGAGGTATTACAGTCTTACCTTTCATAACGAAAATTAATGGCAATCTTCGAATTACACCTGTCTTGGCAAACTGTGTGGGATTAGGTGTTGACTTAGCCCTTTTAAAGCCTCTACTTGAGTAACGGTGCCGGATCGAGGGGTAGCAACAGTACACTATTTGAGTGGACTACGAAGAACAAACGCAAACCACCTCGGTCGTCTTTCTTGGACACAGCGAGTGTAGACTCTATCCTTGCGATTTAGAATGTATTGCGAGTTTGGACTGTATCATTTTACAATATGTGTGCTGTCCTTGTAAATACATACGTAATGTATCCTTTGAGGCGGAGTTGCTGTACTTCACTTGAAGAAGTGTCCCAAAGCCGTGGCGGTCAAATATCTTCAGTTTCGCTCTTCTACCCAAACAGCCCAGAATTCACAACCAGTGAAAAAATGACCCAACAGATACATGATACCAATGGATATTTGTGGTGACGGAGGTATCGCGTCGAATCCACGAGCACTTTCTAAAGCTCAAGAAAACCCTGCAAGAGAAAGTGCCGTTCTTGCTGTCCATTCAAAAGCAGCCTCGCCCGAGGTATTTGAAACTGCCTTCATCTTAGAGTTGGCAACCACCTATCTTAATATGTGTCTCCCCTGATCAGAGGTGCAGCTTGGAAATACTGGTTGTTCCTGTATTTATGGATAAACCGACCGCTTTAGCGACCCCATTCCTCCGTGACACCGTAGACTGCAGACCACAAAATATGGAAACTAGTAGGGTGGCATCATTAGCGTAGTGAAAAGTAGCCAGCCAACGTCCAGGTGCAAACTCAACACCGTCAACTTCGTGTACGACCTTCCCGAGAATCCAGTCAATACCGCAGTTAAACAAAATAAGAGGCAGGATACAGTGTTCTCACACGCCGAACCGAGTATCGAATGGTTAAGAGAGCTTGTTATGGAACAGAAATCATGTTAAGATAGAACAGTAGTAGGCCTCAGTCCTGGTTTGGCAGTAAATCGTCTAGAACCACTATCCGCAACGACTCGCAGAGGACAGAATCGAGCGCAGCCGCAAAGTCAACAAACCAGGCAGCCGTCGGTTGTCTGTGGCTATGACAATACTCAAGAATGAGCCTTTGTATGAATATCTGGTCCGCACATGCACACCCTGCACGGAATCCGACTTGGTTGGGTCTCATGCTAGTCACACACAGCCTGAAATCGTCTTAGGACAACAGCAAAGATCTTCACAGCAACCTCAATGAGGATTATGTCGTGGTAGTTCTCGCATCTCGAGTTATCTTCCTTCTTGATAACAGGATGTCCCAGCCCTTCATCAGGAATTATCTCGTGCAAGGGGCTTACCACTAATTTGGCGAGTCTAACTCGAGCTGTCTGAGCAGAAAATTGTAAGGTTTTTCCTCAGATCCAGTCACTATGGTGTCGTTGGGTGTATCCACTACTTTTATCAATTGATGGACACTAGCTGCCGCCTTCTCCGTCGGGTCAAGTCGTTAAACGACATCGGATTTCTGTGCTTGGCATCTCGGCAGTGCTGGGCTGCCGGCTTTCTTTTGATATCGAGGCGTCTAGCATGCGGAATTTTGGACATGGATGAGGGGAGAACTTTCAACTGTGTGCTAACGAGCTGGCCTG